ATATATAAGCTACAGTCTGCAGGGTCAAAGGACCAACCTTTTTCCATCCCAATCATGGCAGCCTGCCTAGCTGGGCTGATGGAAGCACATTATAGATTTGTTAGAACCTAACCTGAACACATGAAGCGACGGGGGTTTAGARAAGTATAATTGTGTGGAAAAGATGTCTTTGCTCAGCCAAGCAGGAACGACAGATCTGTTTATAACTCAAGCGTGTGTAATTATAAGGCTCGTGTTCATTCAGACACGCAGAGTTCTGTCTTTATTCTGTCCATCTGGCCAAATCTCACGATGCAGAACATAAACCTCTTTCACTTTCTCCACTTCTCCTCCACTCTTTATTTCTCCCTGCCCCCCTCTTCCCTGCCCAGTTTTCTCCTCTCTGCCCCATAATGGATTATTCTTGTGACATTAGAAAGAAGAATTTGCTGCTAGAGTGTATTGATTGCTTTAATGGTAGAGAGTAGAGCAAAGGGAGAGGAAAGAGAGGGGACTGGAGACACAGGAGAGTGCACACAGAGTCCATTAGGTTAATAAGAAGAGCATCTCCCATGCACAGATGCATACACCCACACACACACACACACATCAAATACAAACGCATGTGCATGCACACACACATAAATCTGGCTTCTTTTGTCCTTTGATATGACAGGTTTCAGATAACAGCTGTCAGGCTCTGCTGTGCACAGGAAAATGCCCATGCTGCGTTTCGTTCTTTTTGCATTAATGTCAAGTCGGTTCACGTTCAGCTTTGCTCCTTGTGTRGTTACCTTACATCTTAATGGGTTTTGTTTTAGTGACAAGCGTAGTTGCTTAAGCAAATAGACCTTTTTCTCTCACTGTAAAACTGGCTCAAAAATATTTATCATTTGATAATATTCTGAAATGTAGTCATTTACCTGAAAACATGAGAAATGACAGCAATGACAGAAATGAGAGCTTTTTCATTTATTTACCTATAAACTCTTATTTTAGACTTACATTTCCACATTGATAAACAAAAAGGYAACTGTGTCTGCTATAGTGATTGTAATATATTCTCACTGTTTTCATCTATTTTTCTTAGATTTTGTATGTTTATAAACATTAAGTCTGAAGATTATTGTATAAATATATAAATCTAGTTACAAACTGTAGGAAATGGGAGCAGAGTTGTAAAGTAACAAAGTACAAACACTTTGTTACTGTACTTAAGTAGAAATTTTGGTTATCTGTACTTTACTTGATTCTTTTTCAGCATATTTTTTACTTTTACTCATTATATTTTTACACAATTATCTGTACTTTCTACTCACTACATTTTTTAAAAAAGGTAAGAAGTAGAAAGTCGTTACTACCAATTTATTCTGAGTTATTATATAAAAAAATACAATCCTGATAAATTGTATCTCCTGGATAGAGTGAATTTAATTGTAGTTAGATGAGAAGTACAAATATGTACCATTCTGACAACATATTAGCTTGTACACAACCCATCACAGCTGCACGCCGTTAGAAAAAAAAACGTTTTTTGGGGAGGTCACCTCCCAATAAATGTCATTTAGGAAAATCTAACTGCTCACTTTTACTCAGTACTTGTACTTTTATTACTAATGTACATTTTGTGTCAGAAATTTACTTTTTAAGACTTTTACTCAAGTTATATTCTTAGAGAAGACTTTAACTTTTACCAAAGTATTTTTATGATAAGATACTTGTATTTTTACTCAAGTATCACTTTCAGGTACTTTATACAACACTGAATGGGAGTAATATGAAGGACACCATCGTTAGTGAAAATATTTTCTTTCTTTTCTTTTTTTTTTTGTGCAATCACACCACGTTTTAAAATGTCTTCTGGTGGAATTGTTCTGTGTCCCACCAGGCGGAGTGGAGGGATGAGGTGAGACACCACTTTGAGAAGATCAAGTCTGAGGGGACATGTCTTCACCGGCTGGACGAGGAGCTGATCAAACGGCGTAGAGAAGAACTCAGGTGAGATAAAACAGACCAAATGATGTGGGAAGAGCAGTCAGAAAACTCAGTGAACTGAAGACAAGCTGTTAACCAAAGTGAGCTGAAATTCCTCCTCGACTAAAACTACATTTAAATAATTTCTTGGTGCGTATAAATTTAGGAGAGTGTACTTTCTGTTTACAATGTTTGTACTTTTGTATTTTGGCCATATTGCTCTWATGTTGCATAATCATTGGTAAAGACAGTGTTTGTTTTGGCAAACCTTAAAGACGCAACACCTACAACCTTTTTAAAGTCTGCAGAATACTCAGCAAAGAAAAGCAGAAGTGTTTTTTTAAATATAAAAATCATACCTTGCATCTCTTGTTTCATAATTTCTTAATAATTCTAAATGCTGCATTTGATGCTTCTGTTTGCATATTTATAACCCACGTTTCTCTGCACACAGGCACGCTCTGGACATCCGGGAGCATTACGAGCGGAAACTGGAGAGAGCCAACAATCTTTACATGGAGCTCAATGCTATCATGCTACAGCTGGAGATTAAAGAGAAAGAGCTGCTCAAGTATGAAAACTGTCCTTTTCACAGTAACCAATGACACAAACAATTCCCATTTTATTGCACTTAAGTCAAAACCAAACCCCGCTGCAGACCTGGGAACTGACTGGCCCTGAGTGTTTACATATCTTAATGATCAGTTAACACTGACAAACTGTGTATTGGTAATGGAAATGCATAAACAGCTGAAATGTAAAGGGTAATAGTTTGTTTTTAAATGTCAGGCGGGAGCATTCGCTTGACAAGAAGTATCCGGGCTGCTTCAAGCACCACAGCTCCAGACAGTCGGCCTCCTCCAACTCGATGGAGAAACTCATGAAGAAACGGAACGTRCCTCAGAAACTGCCCTCCCACAGCAAGAGGTGAGAGAAAATGACTCACAGCAGTTGCCTGCAAAAACTGTCCATCTTACCAAGTTTTAAAATCTTATATCAGCCTAAAAGTCTTTTTTGATCTTGTTTTGAGACTGATTTACTAAACAAGAACTGATTGTGTAAGAATAATAATCTTGTTTTCAGAATGTGTAAGATTATTTGTCTTGTTAGCCTGAAAATTTGACTCAAATTAAGTTAAAAACTGCCAATGGAGTAAGAAAGTTTTACTTGGTAAGATTCTTGAAATGCTTGATTTAGCACATTTTTTTTATTTCAAGAATCTTACCAAGTAAAACTTTCTTACTCCATTGGCAGTTTTTAACTTAATTTGAGTCAAATTTTCAGACTAACAAGACAAATAATCTTACACGTTCTGAAAATAAGATTATTATTCTTACACAATCAGTTCTTGTTTAGTAAATTAGTCTCAAAACAAGATCAAAAACACTTTTTGGCTGGAAATAAGATTTTAAAACTTGGTTAGGTGGACATTTTTTGCAGTGTATTCAGTGTTTTATAAACTAATTCTTCCCTCTCCTTTCTAGACCAGACCTACTTAAGTCCGAGGTGATTCTCCCCAAACTGGACTCATCCATGACCCAGGTCACCATCCCCAACAAGGGCTCCACCTCTCCTGGTCGCTCTCGCCGGGGAAAACCTCGCTACCGGAAGGCTGGGAAAGGCAGCAGCGGCGACCTGGCTCAGCTTAAAGCCACCCTGTCTTCATCGTTAGCAATGATCAACGCCACCTCATCTGTTCCCAGCAGCAAACACCGACTGGACCCCAGCGCGGCCCTCAGGGGTCTGCAGCATGACCTGCTGCTCAAAAAGATGTCGTCCTCCAGCCCGGATCTTATTTCAACCACCCTGGAGGTGGAAGAGCGGAGGAGGGGGCAGATGAGGCCGGGGCTGGACCGGGCGGGCAGTCAGAGTGCCTCAGCTGGGTTGGAGGACAGTAGGGGGACGAACGGGCCAGAAGATGGACCAGATGTTGGGGTGGGGGCCGACGACCTGGCCGAAACACCTCCACGCAGTGACACGCCCAGCGAAGACGCGGCATCTATTCCCTTCTCCAGCAGCCCGGATTCACCGTGTGGAAGAGGGGCGGCGGCAGGGAGGTCGTCTGTCCTCGGGAACGCTCGGGTTCCCCACGAGGGAGACGAGAAGGAAGAGGGGCCGGTGATCACGCGCTCCCCCAGAAGTCAGCGCCTCACTCCTTCAGCGCTGCTCTACAGGGCTGCCGTGACACGCAGTCAGGTACATCTGAAAACACTCRCACTGTTAGCCGTTCTCACAAAGTTGTTGCAAAGTGTTTGCTCTGAAATCTCACCTTTAGCAACTCTGAGGAGTTTATAAACTCTTGCTTCAAATGCTCTGCAGAGACGTGGCGTGTCATCAGAGGAGGAGGAGGGAGAAGTGGACAGTGAAGTGGAGCTGCCACGAAGACGGTAACGATAAAAGCATTTCAGATAGCTGAGCTGAACTTCCAAACTCAAACGTAGCATCACATATAAAAAAAACATTCATTATACTTGCAGCTATAATTTGTTAAACAAATATGTGCCACCATTTAGATTACTGCCTGAAAATAAAATGTACCTTACCCTAATTTGTACTTGAAATAAGGCTAAAACATGGTAAATATCTATATGTGACCCATCACATTGAAACGAGGATTAAGTCCAAAAGTGGAATGTGGAGGAATAGGCAGGTATAGGGTTTTGATTTAAATGTGCAAAAATTGCATTTTGTCAAAATATTATGAATAAAAATGCCTCATCAATGTATCATTTGAACAAGCTGTCTTAAATACAATCCTAAAAAAATTTTTGAAGCATTTTTCTGAACAGTAGCAACAAAAAACCTGATTTTGAGAAAAACGCCTTAAAATTTAGAATTTTTCCCTGTGAGCTAGCAAAGGTTTTGTTTCTTTCCAACTGGGAAATCTTAATATACAAATACTGTTTGAGGTTTCCTCTTTATATTGACATCAAAAATGACTCAATAAATTTACATAAAATTAGGATTCAGACCAAACAGTAATGTATTATCKTAAACCAGCAAGACAAATGAGGTCATATCTCTGGGTAAACTGATATCGGAGTGATCCAGGTATCAATGAATCTGAAAATGTAATTAGGTCATTTTCACCTATTTTGACTTAATCTTCATTTCGATGTGATGGGTCACATACTTTGTCTCAGTGTCTCTTTTACAAACTCATTGAACTTYTTATGAACAGATATTTCCTTTTTATAATTATAAATATGTTCTCTGTTGTTCTCCCACACAGGCGACCAGTGAGCATCACCAAATGTCAGTCTCTGTCAAACTTCAGCTTAGAGAACTTATCGGTTTCGGACGGAGAGGAGGGAAACACCACTGATCACTCCCACAGCGGCACGCCTGACGTAGTCAGCACCAACACGGACGAGCGCCTGGACGACAAAAGCGACGACTTGCTGTCTCAGGGCTCCGAGATTCCTGCCGACCCCTCCGACCCGACCCAACTGGGCTCCGACGGCTTGTCTGAGAAGGAAGCTGTCCTGCGACAAGTGAAGACGCAGCTCGCTTCAAGTGAACACAACTACGAGGCGAGTATAAAAAAAACCCCTGAAATGTGTGTGAATGGAAAGCTTTTGTGAGGTTTGATGTTCTAACTGGTTGTTGTTAAACTAGGCGCTGTATGATGACTCGGATTGTGACAGTGCAGAGTTGGACCACTCATGCAGTGCAGAACCAAGTCAACCTCCAACCAACTGGTGAAAAACCAAACATTTGGCTTCTTGGACCTGTTTAATACTGACTCAAAAAAGAAAAAAAAACATCGTGTTGGGGCTTTAACAAGAAATGAAAACTGGTCGTACTGGAAATCTGATTTAACCCACAATGAGAATGTGAACCTTTAATGGAACACGAGCTGCTTGGACAGGAAAAACAACCTTGTGTTTTTTTTCCCTCCATGGCAACAGGCCGAAGATCAATTTTATGAAAATGCATCAAACTACACCTCAGTGACACTCGACTGGAGGTCAGGAAAAAGACTGTTTGTTACCGTTAGTCATCTTCCATGTTGATTTTTATATATCATTAATAAATGTGTCATCCTAATTCGTTTGACATAAAGATAAATAAGGCAATTCTTTCAGGGTGTTTGCAGCAAATGCAAATAGCAACATAACTCTGAAGTACTGGAGCTGCAACTCGCACTTGATTTTTTGTGTCGTAACACATTTTGTTTAATATTATGCACTATTCCTTTAAGCGTGAAAAAATGCTTCATTTTGCAGTTCTTTATATTTATGTAATAATGTCTCCATTTTCTACTTTATTTTAATATTATTGTAAATATTAAAAAATGATGTAAAAGGAACAAATTTTTTAATTGTAAGATTGTATAACTTAAGGTGCTGATGTTTCTCTGTAGGTGGCACTGTTCTATTTGAAGCTGAAAAAGCTTTTGTTAGTCGAATGTAACTGCTGTAGCTGCTGTTCATGTCTGATCATCGGTGGTGAGAGGAACAAATTGGTGCTGCCAAGTGTTTAGCAGTAAAAGATTTTTTTAAAAAAGTTTCAAAATATCTCCTGAGACTTTCGAAGGGTGTAATTTATTCATAGAAACGCATGCTTGTAAAGGTAAGAGTAAATGTAAACCTCTTGGATGTTTCATTCAAACACTTTGTRATTAATCCAAATTAAATATTAGACTTGAGAAAGAGAGCAGATATTTAAAACCCGACATGAACTAAAAAAAAAAAATCTCTGAAATGTTCCATCTCACAAACAGGAGCAATGTGCCAGTGTAAATAACACTAAAAGATTTTTTTTAAAAAGAAATTAGATACACGTAAGCACCATTTTGCATCTCTAATCATTTCTTTCTAGGATTATTCACTGTTGGCATATTTATACAGCAAGTCTACAAATACTTAACACAACAGAATTTAACTGCAGTTTTATTCACTTGTTCAAATCCAAGCAAGACATCCTGCTTTGCTCACTCAGAATAAGACGATTTTACACCAACATAGACTTTTTCAAGTTTGCACTAACGTTACCCTCACAGGGAAGATGTGGACTCGTTGTTGGTCTGTTTCTCAGTCATGTTTGTGGGGGCTTCTTTAAAACAGAATGGTGCTGATGTCCTTGAAAAACTTCTTACTGTACATTTGAGCTTATTTACTCAATAATCCATCAGGTCAATCAATAAGCTAGAAGGGTTTTTATTTTTTAGTCAGGATTTAGRTGTTTTAAGTTTACATTTGTAGAGCCTTTATGAACTTATGTCCCCCAAGATCTGAAAGCAAGAAATCCGTTATCAGGATGAAATGTTGCCAACAGGGTAAACTGTTGCCCTCTAGTGTTTTAGTCATGGAGGTATTTCCGTTTCCCAGGATGCTGATTGTAACACCTGGCTGGATTGAAATGTGGGCTTTTATATATAYATACAGCATTAATGTAACTGTACAATAAATATATTTAAGAAATAATTTAAAATAAACTCAGACTTGTAAAATCTCAACCGGTGTTTCTCTTTTTCTTGGATACATAAAATACTCAACAAAATGTGTGGTTTGAGCATTTCACGCCTTTATTTCAGCATTTTTTAAACAATATTGTGGCACCCAGGTCTACAGTCCCAAACAACGTGCACAAAAGTTTTTTTTTTCTGTCCTGCAAATAAAAAAAAAATCTGACTTGAGCAAAGCAAAGAGAAGGAATCTAGTGGTTACTCACAACCCTTCCTTTGTTTAGTTCAAACAATTTGTTTCACTCCTCATCCTTATCACATTTATTAGACCAATCAGTGTCCAGAGGTTATTTTCACTTTGGTAGTTAAAAAAAATATTCATTCTTCCATTTAAAACAAATATTTCAACTTTTTTTTAAGTATATATCAATCTATACAAAAAAGCGAGGCCAACCCTCTGCTTCTGATCCCTTAAACCGAGTCCAAAACCCAAAAATCTCCCATCCCAGCAAAATATCAACATATGATCTCAGGACCAGGAGAGGGGGGTGGGGAGGAGAACCGGAATGACGTGTAGAGGAGAGAGAGAAGGTGACATGCGTCGTAGTACACATCTGAATTTATCTGAATAAATTAATCTGAGCGTTAGGATGTTTGCCATCAGAACCAAACCTGTTCAGTGACGGTGCATCTACAGCTACGTTTTTTTCCTGATCAGTGATGTGTTGTCTGAGATACAAGCACTTCAGTTGGAAAAGTAACGGGGCAAGGACGCCATTTTTTTCTTAAAGCAATAAGGGCCTAAATAARAGGGGGGAAAATAAAACAGAATAAAACATTCCCTCTATTCTTAACTTTTGATTCTTTTGATTTTTCCTCTTTTCCTTAAAAAAACTGACCTGTACAGAACTGCCCTAATCAGAGTTTTCCCAACTCTGCTTCTCTGTCACAGCAAAAAAAGAAGAGTAAAAGAGCAAGAGGAAAAAATAAAAATAAAAAATAAATCTATCAAATCATTAAAATCTGCAACTAGACTCAAAAAGGGAATTTAAAACCTAATTTTATGCTTCTTTTGACTAAAACCAAAACAAACAAAAATAAAATAAATAAAAATAATGACCTCAGCAGACTCAATCAGTGGCAGTTGACATTTTCAAATGAGAAAGAGGATGTACAATATATAAACTCTGAAGACGAATAGTTGCATTAGACTGCTTTATGGTAGCCGGTGATATAAAAGTGTGACTTAGTGCAGATGCAGTGTCCTATCAGTTGGCTGCCAGTCCTGTGGCCTCAGACGAAAGCCTGGGAAAACAGACACCAAGACACCAGGAGAAGAGAGAAAGGAAGGCATGCAATCAGACAGAAAAGATAAACATCAATATCATTCACTGTACATTACAATATTATTATTTTTATTATTATTCTCATTAAAGGAGATCATCTGGTTTTATTCACCAGGAAAAACTACACGCATATCAAATTAAACAAACGTCCTGTTTGAGGGACTTCTACTGCAAAGAACTAAATCAGCTGCTGATCAAAATCTGCAAACTGACACTAGTTAAGTTTAAAAACGTAAGGGATGAGAGGACCTATGCTGCTCATGTTTTTAGGCAAAATATGAAGCTCCATAGCACAGGAGGCTTAGMAGAAAATGACTGGAAACAGGAGCAAACAAGTCTGTTTCTACAGCAACTATTTTTTTTATAACCGCTGATTGTTTTTCTTCAAAACTGAACTCAACATTATCATGTAAACTCCAGAACAGAACTCCAACAATTAGAAGTTGTAGCGTTCTCAAGCACTTTAAAGGGGCAATATTATGTGTTTCTCAGGCATATATTTAAATTCTATACCATAATAAAGTAACTATGTCATGTTGTTTATACGTTTAAATAGAAAATAAACTTGACTTCTCATCATATCTGTTTCTAAACGCCTTGAAATTGGCCTCTGTCTCTTTAAGAACCTCCTTCTGCTTCAAGGATTTCTCAAATATGCATGAATGAGCCAAAGCAAGACTCTAGGCATGTTTTTGATGCGAGGATGACATTATAACTAGGGATGCATGATATATTGGTATTGATATTATTATCGGCCGATATTGGTCATTTTTTAGAATATCTGTATCGGTCCGATTTGTAAAACTGAGCTGATATTAACGTCTGATATTCATTTCCCACTTTTTAGCTTTGTGTTTCTGTTTTGGGAGGGGAGATGGTTGGTTGAGCAGCATCTGTTTGATCATGATAGGGATATTGACGCTGCACAGCCAGGAATAACTGAAGCAGGGAGCCATGTCAGAGGTCTGGTTATGGTTTTACGGTATCAAAAAAGACAAAAGTGTGTCTGTGTAATATCAGTCAATATCGGTTATCGGCCATAATGGCAATAGTCATAATTGGATATTGATATCGGCTGAAATTTTCATATCGGTGCATTCCTAATTATAACATGATATAAAACTCAAAAAAGTTGATTTTACGTGATTTTGCCCCTTTAAAGAAATGTCATACTTAAAAAAATAAAATAAGAGGGAGCTGCATTGAACTAAGATAACTACTGATGACTAAGTAACCTTTTGTAGTCTCTGCTAGTTCCCTGGCAAGTAAAAGTAATGTTTTTTTTTCTCTTAATAATCATGTTGGGCGGCTTGATTACCTCCTATTTCCAGTTTGTTTTTAATAAGTTAATGAGCTGCTGAAGCGTCATACTCAAAGTCGTGAAGGGGATAAACATTAATTGGTTTTGCTCTTTTTGAGTGGGTGAATTCAAGCAATAATCAGATCTGCAATGTGTTTAATTATTCTTGTTTCTCTATGGAGCTGTACTGAGCTGATGCAGATGGTTGTTCGGGTGATTTTCACATCAACATCACCCCCAAAAAATTGATTTGGTGGCTTTCATACCTGAGGGAAGATTTACTTTAAATTATTTTATTTTTTTTCTTACATGAGCAGTAAAAGTTTTTAAACACTCCGTTATGTAAACTACCGTAAGTCACTTAAAAACAACTAGAAGGAAGCTAATCGCACAAATACACTATGACATCTTAAGAGAGAGCCGCTACCTGAGCAGAGCTTTCACAAAAAGAGAAACATTTCAGTGATTCGGTGAAATTATTCTCTGTCCATGCTAAGTTTTACGTCGTTGAAAAATATAATGCACTCAACATGTCATATCTTAAAGAGACAGATAAAATCACGCTACACATATTTTATACATATGGCATTAATCATCTCTCTGGCTTTGTAACAAGAGGCTGCTTTCTGCAGGAAGCGAGGCATGGTGCAGCCAGATACAAAAGCAAGTGCCGGTACAGACAACAGAGAGCATTGTCAGCACTTCAGTAGTAGATGACTTATGTTTCCTTGGTTAGTAAGGGGAGAGCCTTCGCCTTTTAGACTTGGAGCCAAGCTCGGGGGCGACTTTGGGCTCGGTGGCAATTGAGTGTGGGGGGTTACTGGCCCCACTGACAACGTGGAGGGCCAGGAGAGGCAGGGGCTTCAGACTGAGGAGACTCGACACACAGGCAGGAGAGCTGGGGAGCAGGGAGTCAGTGGAGGAGGAGGAAGCAGAGGAGGAAGAAGAGGGAGGAGGCGGCCCTGGAGCCAACAAGGACAGAGGAATGGAGGCTGTGGGGGGCACCACACAGGAGGAAGAGGAAGAAGATGAGGAGGAGGAGAAGGAGGAGGTAGCAGCAGAGGTGGTGGTGGTGGTAGTAGTAGTGGTGGTAGTAGTAGTAGTAGAGGTGGAGGGAGGGCACAAGCTGGTCTGTTCGGGGTTCAAGGAGGAGGAGGAGGAGGAAGAGGAGGAGGGAGGAGGTTTAGAGGACTCTACACTGTAGAAAGAGAGACAAGGAGAGAGGGACAACACAGTCGGGATGGGTCACAGGGCAGGCTGGTGAGCAATGGGTGGGGATGGGGGGTGGGGAAGGAGGGATGGGGTCAGGTGTGGGGGATAAAAATCACTCAGGGATGTGATTAAAAAAAACTTTCATTAGAAAATAAATTTGGAAAATAATTCTTATTACTCATATCTGTGGTGATGGATCAATGTGGGAGTAAAAGGATAAAAAATAAAAAATTAATATGATTTTAGGAATAAGATAATGCCATCAACTAAAGTATTTAAAAATGCAAACAAAGCTAAAGAAACTGATAAAATTTGATTTTTTTTTTATAAATCACTGCAATCTTGTGAAATTTCGGGAAATTTGATCCAGCACAACAGAAAGATTGTTTAAAAAAAAAACGGTTATCTTTAAATTTAATGGTACTGTAGATACAGCTACACTCTTGTTTTTTACTCACATCTACATACTATAAGCTTCTGCATTATCTCACCTTGCGTTGATGAGGTACTCCGCCAGACTGATGCTGGCAGGCGAGCCTGTGATAGTAACCTGGCGGTCTGTTGAGCCGTCCACCGGATTTGCGATCTTGATCTGGGCACCAGACATTTGCCTAATCTCATTGATTTTGGCTCCCTGGCGGCCGATGATGCATCCAATAAGCTGTGATAAAGACCAAGTGACAGAAATGCAGTTAACTTGTAAACTAAAGTTCACAGTTAAGATGGAACTTTTTGACAAACACTTTTAGTAACACTGAATCAGTCTGGACACCAGAGGGTCAATTTAGTTTAAGCCACCGGCTCTGTTGTCAATCCAAACAAATAATTGTTGATTTCCAAAAATAAAAACAAAATAAAAATCTTTTCTCCTCCAATCCAATATGTGGCGGTGTAGTACCTACATGCTGAAAATGACATTTCTATATTTTACCTTTCTATAAGCACAGGCTTTGCACACAACCACTTATGACCGTCAAAGTTAGAAGATTTATTAGCAAAATGTATTAATTAAGTTCTGAGTTTGAGTTTTGAACTAAACGCCCCAATTGATTTTGTGCAGAAACCTGTTCCTTTCATTTATTTAATTCATTTTTAGAGTCTAATTTCAAAAACACAATACAATTTCTACAAATACAATATTCTGCAACAAGAGGAATTTAAAACCAATAAGAATCACATCCAAAAAAWGTAAAAACCTACGCTATACAGTGAACCATTGCAATAACGCGGTTCACATTTCATGGCCTCGCAGATTTTTTGGTGCAGTTGTTTTTTCACAGCGCATTGTGTTCTTTGTCTTGATTGGCTAAACAGTCTCTGTGCTTCCTCTCTGTGTGCCAATAACATTACGTTATTCAAAAATACATAATACAGCTTTGCAAATTTCATTTGTTCATTATAATTCTCAAACATAATCGATGGTGGCATGTTGGTTTATACATACATGTGAAGTTGTACGGATTGTCCGTAAGTTATAAGGATTTTATGTCATTTTGCAGGTATACGGACGTATAGAGGAATCTTAAGGATTTTTTCAAGTTTTACAGATTTTGTCAAAACCTCATTTTAAAATTTATCAACATGTCAGAGCCTGTAGGATGATTTAAAAAACAATAAATAACACCAAATAACCATATGCCAACCTGTTCTTCCCCACCCCCCACCCCACGGGTGAAAGTTGTACAGTAACAACTTCACAGATTTCGCCTTTCACGGATTCTTTTCGGAACTCAACCCCGGCGAAAAACGAGGGTTCACTGTATTTGTTAAAATGTTCATTTTGTTTAAAAAAATAAATAATTTTTGTTAATCAAGCTACAACACTGATAACTGTGTGTGTGAGATAACACTAATACTGATAAATCTAATTTCATGGAATACTTACATCATTTGGAATGGTCATCTCATGGGAACTGGTTTGAGCAGAAGCATCAATCCCTAACAGAAAAATAAACTCCTTAAACAAGCATTTAAACAGTAGCTGCTTTACAGGAAACCTACACAAACAAACACATTTCTTTTACTATCTGTGTGAATAAATCTGATACAGTAAATTGACTGTATTTTTGGCCCCAAGCCAGCAAACAATTCAGCTATAAAAGCAGGATCAACTTTTTTCCACAATCGTGCCTTTTCTGTTCACATCCCGTCTCTATAGTACTGCACCTCCCACCCCCAGTTAGAAATTGTCACTTTTAATTTCACTAAGATCAATAACAAAGCCCAGTAAGTTTAAAGTTGGTAAAGGACCAAAGACAAGTGGAAGAATTTGACAATGTCATTTTAGAGTGAGTTTTCTTCTGCAGCCTTCACAATGGCTTTATGAGTTAGCGCAACAGTGATGCATGCAGTCTGAATGTGTAAAAAAAAWTATTAGTTTTGTAAATTAAATGTCGCTATGAAGGCCATCAGGCCCTTGTTGTGCTGCATACCAGTGAATCCCTGGTTGCCTGGTGCAATGGGGAAAGGACTCTGCTGCATAGCCAGCTGGTGAAGCTTGGTGAGCTGTGGAGAAATAGCAGCAGAGGAAGACTGTGAGAGTGAGAGGAGGAGGCGGGGAGAGAAATGGAGGAAATGGAAAACACAGGAAGAGGAGAAAAAAAACAGAACAGATATAAATCACAATCAGTACAGACAGTTACACAAGAAAGCACAAAAAAAAGAATTATTTAAGTGGTGCTCAGATTTATTCTGGTACAAAATTTCACACAACTGTTGTATGACTTTCAATGTGTTTTACGACTTGTCTGAGGAGCACAAAATATTTTTTTTTTGCTGTTAAGTGAAGGCTGCACACTTTGGTAAAGATTTCTTGCAGTCTTTATGGTCATGACAAAGTCACAATACACAAAGGAAGGAGCCCAGAGCCTGTAGCACAGCTTTAAAGAAATATATAAAATGCTCCTGTTGCTTCCAGAGAAAGAAAATATGTGTTTCATCATCTTAACAAAAACACACAAACAGAAAGATCCTTAAGGCAACAGGCAGCCAAAGTACAAAGTAAAAAGAGAACAATTTGCTTTCTAGGACAGACCAATGAATGAGAAGCAAAATAAGGCCGCACAAAAGTTGTGGGGGAAAAAAAAGCAAAGAGAGAGCAGCAGGAACAGATTATTATTCATGGAACAGTGGAGAATCTGGACAAACAAATGACAAATGTCACTTGGTTTCAGAAATGAATACCAGTTACTGCAAAAACACAAACATTAATGAACACTGCTCTAAATGGATGATATAAAAGGACTCATAATTGTAGCTGTAATGAGGGGATTAATAAAAAAGGTAGGATAATCAACCAAACATTGTGTGGGCAGGTGGGGGAGGGGACACATTTTGTCGGAGAACAGCTGTAATTATGGATGGGAGTGGTGGAGATGGGGAGGGTCGAGTAAAAATATTCGCTGCACTTACATCTGGTTGTGGAATCGCGTGCTGTCCTTGTACAGCATATGCCTGAAACATATGAAAACAAAGCTTTCATAGGCCTCACATCTAATTATGTCGGGCAACTCATTCCTCCAATCATGTTACTACTAAATATCTCCAAAAGAGCACATTAAAGCTTTAGTTACATTATTAACGATAAAGATTTGATAAATGTCTTGTCCAAAGTCTCCACATTTCTGGAAAAAGGGAAGTCTTTAAAGACATGAAGTCAAAATTGAAGAAAGAGGATCTTTTCTTTCAAGTTTAAAATGAAGCATTAAGTAAAATAAAGAGCACTGTCATGTTAGGAAATAAGCACAAAAAGGTGTTTGGGTTCAGACCAACATTAAAGAGAAACAGACGTCCTCATTTAGAAAATCTGAGGGTTGAAACAAAAACAGGGGGTGGGGGACAAAAGAAAGCAGCTGGAACAAGAAAAATCTCATAGGAAACATCTTTTATGATCAAACTCGTGAAGTTTCCAATACTTCAAATTATCAGTAAAAGTTGCTGCAAGTTTTAACCTGAAATACATATCTGTAAGTACTCCCTAGGGAGCTAATGTCAAGCCACGTGTTATTAATTTATGTTAAACCATTTAAATAAAATAAAAATTAAAAAGACAAAGTAAAATGACATATTTGAAGCAATAAATGCATCTCGGCATCCACCTAATGTGTCATAAATACCTGTCCACCTGCAAAGATGACAGGTGATCCTGAAGGCTTGGGTCTGTAGGGGATAGTGACGCCCTTAGGGGGAGACTGTACAAGAGACAAAGAATGTATCATTCTTCCAATTGCTACTGTGTATATATAGCCATATTCTGGCATATTGTTCACAATATTACCGTCAATCAAATAAAACAATTCAAATTTACTTCTTATCCTGTCACTTAGCTTTAAAAATACCTTTTCTACATGACTCACAGGCATTAGCTTGCTCCATTACTTCCAGTGTCAAATTACCTCAAGCATGACCACGCAGATCTGCTTTACGCACTCAATTATTGACTGAGGAGTGCCAGCAATGGTGATGGCACGCTCCGTGGAATTGGGAAGCATGTCTCCTGCCACTTGTACCTGAGCTCCGGTTGACTGGAGCACAAAAACAAAAGGAAAATAATAAGAAACTCAATGTGGATCATCAKTATTAGAAAACAAGCAGGAGACGATACAAAGCCGAAGAGAATGTAATTTGAACAATTTTGCATACCTCTCGGATTTCTTTAATCTTGCAGCCACCTTTCCCAATGAGGGAGCCGCACTGGCTGGCCGGCACCACAATGCGTAGGGTCACTGGGGGCTTGCTGGTAGCTGTGCTGTTTGTCATTGAGCTGCTTATATCCTGGAGACAAYATTAAGAGCTCAGTTAGCTTAACTTATGAAAGGGCTGTCTTCTGTTGCCCTGCAACCTCAACACCGACCTCTTCCAACTTTTCAATGATCATGGAAAACGCTTTGAAGATGGCAGTGGTTGGACCTGCCAATGTAATAATCCTCTCAGGACAGTTGCCCTCCGAGATGTTGATGCGAGCACCRCTCTACGGGCAAATGGAAAAGCAAATTATGAAATATATATATTTTTGACAAGTATGTGAACTTTGCAAATCTACCAATTATAGCCTTACAGAAAGTATAACATGTCATGCAGTACTATAGTATAATCACAGTAATGCACTAAGTTTCAAAGAACTCACCTCTTCTCTCATCTTCTTCACAGATTCGCCTTTCTGTTAGTTTAAAGACAGATTTTAGCAATTATTAAATTCATTTTGACTTGAAAATTAAAACAATAAAACAAAGAACAGTGTTGACAATATAACACAGCTTACCTTTCCAATAATGCTCCCAACTTCCTAAAATGAAAGATACAGAAAGAGTAATAGTTGTAAAATCATGCACAACAAAAGAAGATTTAAGTCGAGTGTTGTTTACTGCACCCAAAAATTCTCTGCAAAGGCAAGATCGCTGAAAATAGGCCTGAAAAGATTGTGTGTTGACCAAAAGAAGATAGATATCTTATGACTTTAGAAAATTGCGTCCTTCAGGAAATGTCTCATTTAGCAGGCTATAATTTAGAACTGCATGGAAGGATGATGTTTTTAAAGTCGCAATTTGGCATGTCTTCATTAATCTTGTATGCGAGAGTCTAATTTTGAGCTGTTGCTTTTTGGCCTCACAGCTTCGAAAATCACCATAACAGCCAACTGTAGGACTCACAATGTGACAAGTGTAGCTGCGCCGCTGTCATCAGTGCCAGATGGGTCCGAGACAAATGACTTTCGATGCCGGCGGCAGTGAATTTTAAAATTTGACAGATATAAAACGTAGACTTTTATCTTTCACGCTTCTCTGTGATCATTCTCTGAAGAGTCACATCATCACAAACACTGATGAGTCCATCTAACCAGGCCTGTGTATTTTCTTCTAAGATATCAAATGATAAAAGTACATCACTGTCCAACGATGACAGGGTTCTTAAAGAAACTGTAATGTCAGAATTGGAGAGTATTTCCTCACAGAAGGAAAAGCTAAGAATGACACTGAAAACGTGTTGCAGCTCTTCCAGATGGCTTTGGTCGAAAACGTTTTTACCAACTGACTCAGACTTATTGATCTAATTGGTTGAAGCATGCTTGTGATAGAAAGCTACAAGACACTTGAAAATCTATGCTTTTTCGGTTTCAATGTGGGATTTATAAATTGTTTTTTTTTTTCTCTACCAAACTCTATATAACTTTAAATGAGTATAAGAGATTATCAGTGATATACCAAAATTAAAATGCTATTTTGGTCCATATATTAGAAAAAATACAAAAACAAAAAGTGTGAAATTACATTTCTAAAATAAAAATAGGTGTGTGCCAGAGATTCGACATTTTAATACAGCAACACACTGTTCTATGTTGTTTTAAAAAACGGGATTCAATTAATTGGCAAATACCCATATTATCTCATTAAAGCCCTGCTCTTCGTGAATCCCAGAAGGGAGACTTCATTTCCATAAATAAAATGCTGTTTGCTGTTGGAATGCCTACACAAGCAGCTGATGGGTGACCTCACCTTGCCATGCATGAGCAGCCTGATGGTGAGGGTGACATTGAGCCCGCCTTCAATCACTCCGGAGTCCATAACTGCTACAATAGCTGTCAGTACAAAACTGGGGTCTTTGGTCTCCGAGATGGATCTAAACAATATAAAACAAATGGAACATTATACACAGGGGAAGAATAAAAAGACAGTGTTGTGTTACTGTTAATAGGAACTCTATGTACATAAGTGATCCAGTAAAGACTGATGCCAAATTTCTACCGTTAGAAGGCAGAATCATGACATAATTTTCAGGACCCACTAAGATTACAGAGAACCTTTTATCAACAATGTAATCTCACAACATACAAACATAACATTACTGAACAGTCAAAGGCCAAAATGTAAACAATTCACAAATTACGTGGGCTTCTAGTTATTTATCATCCTGTTGGGTTGGCCACTTCACGTCTTTTGCCAAGCTTCATAACAAGTTTGTAGAGAGATTATGGTTAAACCTGACTTTCCAAACTTACATTCCAAGGGCACAAATTATTAAACAAACAGAACATGGTCATTTATTGCACTGCTGAGAGAACATCAGTGACATTTGAGTAACTCGTGCTACGATCAACTATCGTGTRAAAAGATAAGCTAATATTTTATAAACACACCAACCTAAAATGAGTTTTTAGCTTTGACTTCTTAACAAGCAACTAAAAGCATGGTCGTGTGCTACGCTCATCGTTAGCTTTTAAAACAAGTTTAAGAACGTGTATACGATCGATTTCTTCAAGCTGAATTTTTTTTTAAACAATTACACAACAAACACATACAGCATGCTGGTTAAAATATTTCATAGCTTGCTTTGTCTGTATTAAAGTGAGATTATTTAATCACTAAAGATAGTCGAAAGTCTGTTAGCCCTTTTAGCATTTTGCTTGGTAAATGAATGGAGCATGCTTGTTAGCAAAGCTAGCTAGTTAGCTCAATTTGTGAACTTGCTAATACATACTGTTAAGATCCGTGGAGTTGCATTCAAATTAACTCTTGTGCTGATTAAAATATTAATAAAGAGCCACTGTTTTTTAAAATKCCACACAAAAAGTATCTGCGCCGTAGCTACCCAAGCTAAGCTAACCACATCACTGAACGGAGACTGCGTGTTCATCATCACGCGGCCTGTGTTAGCAGCTGCGGCTACAGGGCGCGATTTCTTTCCGCTACTTCGAATCACAACAAATGTTTCAAAAACTAGGTATCTAATTAAAACTTACCTTATTCGTGCGCTGCTGGGTGATCGGGGGGAGGGTTGGGGTTGTAAGGGTAGAAGGGGAGAGGTTTGGGAGGGTAGAAACCCGGGGGAGAGTTTAAAAAGGACTCGGGGAAGAGGGAAGAGTGATGCGCGACCGAGCTCCACTCCTTTACACAAAGACAACAAAAATTTAACCTTTGAACTTTCACCAGTCACTCGTCGTCACCCACAACCACCCAACCCCTCCCTCAGGCTGTTCTCGTCTTGTCATCTGTGTGATGAAACGTGATTAAACATGGCTGCAAAATATATAAAAAAAACATTAAAACATAAAATAAACCATATTAGCATCAAACATCAGCAACAAAATAAGATGGAAATTTCTGGGAGCTTGTAAAGTGTATTCATTTGCTGTATACGTTTGAAAAAGTGAAATATAGTTGCATAAATTGAAATAAACTAAATATTAAAGAGCCACTAGTGGGGATAATGGCATACTGCAACTTACTAATGATCATTTTCCAGTTACTAATGCACATGCTCAGTGTAATTTTGTGATCGATATATTCATTCTTATACTTTGAAAAACAGTATTCTGATCTAGTGTTTCTGCAGTCATTTTGTCACCTGACAATGCCGCATGCTGAGGATATTTTGCCATTACAACATAAAACAGTAAATCAAATTTAAATGTGTTTGTACATTGAAAATAGCTGTGAATGTGTTTGGAGCTGCACCCGATTACACATTTATTTATTATTTATAAAAAAGACAAACACGTCAGGAAGGATCTTTTTAAAGAACTGTTTATTAAGCAGAAKAATCAAACATTGAACTTTATACGTTTTGTATGTTTTAGTGTTATTGCATTAAAATAGTTCCAAAGCAATGCAGAATACTTTTGCAGTTATTAGTGGTCAGCATAACATTAGACAATTAGAGAATAAAGAATCCTATCTCATTTTCTAGTTTCATAGATCTACCCAGAAAGCAAAGACATGTTTTATATTAATTTTACTAACAAACATTCCCAAAACTTAAACAATATTGTGTATTTGTACACTTCTGTGTGCATACCTATATAAAAAAAGGGGGGGGGGGGGCAGTAACTACAGAAAGATTAACTGTAGAGCATTTAATTGCAACAATACAACCCCCCAAAACAAAGTAAGACTGAAAATAGGTTTTTTTTTGTTACATAAATGAACCATACAAAATAATGTAGCTGTGTGTGATAAGGGCCACTGGGTGACTAGGTATTACAGTGTTGCACTTTTTGAAAGCAGCGTTTGGTGCATGTTGATTGTTGAGCTGAAGGCCTCAGTCTGAATCACTACTGCTGCTGCTGCTGCTGGAGGACTGTAAAGAAAAAGAAAATGCTTGAATATTTTAAACATTAAAATTCTAAGTTTAAATTAATTCAAGCTGCATTTAATGAATTGCAGTGTGATTCTGAGGAACCAATGAGAGCAACAACCTGTWGTGCAAATGGTAGATGGCATTAAATAATGACGTATGGTCAAAGCTAACAGTTGCCAAATAAAGTTGGAATTCACTTAATGAATGTATTTTGGACTTCATCAGATGTTAGAACAGTTCAGACAAAAAGTCACATTTTCAAGATAAACAGAACTTTCCTCTTTCAAAAATTTACAAGAACTTGTGTTTTTACAAACCAACTAATTTTTAGAGTACGACCTAAAGACTTCCCTCTGTTCATCATGATAATCCTTGACAAAATAAACAACCATAATAAAAAACAATCTGTATGTCTCCTAAGTTATACTGTAAATCACAGAATTCAAACTCTTGGATCGTTGTATGTGCTCAGAGGGCCTGTAAAGGTTAGGGTTATTTATATTAATATTTCTGCAACTTGGAGATCCTTTTAATTAACATAATTAAGATCAGTCTCACCTTGCCATGTTTGTGCCCATGCTTGTTAGCTTTGTGTCCTTTCTTCATCTTCTTCATCTTCTTATGACCTTTGTGTCCAACCAGCCCCATTCCAACACCACCTGAAAGACCACCCATGGGATTTAGCCCACCGTGATGATGACCATGACCCATGTGATGACCTTTGTGGTGACCCCCTTTGGGAGAGTGTGGGTATGGACCTGGATGAACACCACCAGGAGGAACCATTGGATATGCACCTGGACCCACAGGATAAGCCTGAGGTCCAGGAACTCCATAAGGCATCACGCCCGGGTTCATATTCGGCCCCATAGCTGGGTTCATGGGAGCTGGGAACTGGCCTGCAGGGTACGCTGGGTTTGGAGCCTGGGGGTAGACTCCCGGTGGAGGAACAGAAGGAAATAAAGGGTTGTAACCAGGAGGAAAGGCAGAATTTGGAGGAGGAGGAGGAGGAGGACCTGAAACAAAAAAAAGAAAGAAAAGAAAACATGCTTATTTTAATACACACATGCCTCAGTTAAAGTGAAAATATAGCTGGATCAAAACTTGACAAACTGTCTTGTCTGTTTGATTTATTTAATACCACACCTTGGTTGGGCCACATAGTTTATTAACTTGATCAAACAAGTTCAGATCTCTCACAGTCCTGTGGAAACAGACAGAGGATATGTAAAGGTTGGTCACCGAATAACAATTAAAAATGCTTAAACTGTCTTTACAAACAACTCAACAGTGTAACTGCATTCTGTCTCATCTCATACAAAATTCTACAATTAATTGTTCAACCAATTTTAAAAATAAAACATACATTCCTCATCTAAAAAAGCAACAGTACTTAAAAATCTAGCAAAACATTCGGAGTACTAATTTTAATTTTTTTCTGACTTATAGTGACACATAAGGTTATCATGGTAATTCATTGTGTAGCTTCATCCTAAGCAGTCTGTCCAGAATTACACAATTGTGGTGACTGTTTTCATTACTTTGGCAGGTGTTGCCCAGATCAAYTATCTTCACACACAGCAAGAAAAAGATCCTGTAATCTCACATCACCCTTGCAATGGATCATATATTCATGCTGGTTTAATGATCAATATTATGTTCTGTCCACTCTACTGATGTTACAAAAATGACAATTTTAGAAATACGTTTTGCGGTAGAGAGTTCAATATATTCAAAAAAATGTTTTATAGCACCTGAACATAATGCTTCGTCACAAACTGGTCTAATTTCTGAACATTACTCAGCGAAAACATACTCTATTTACTCAAGTTTGTTAATAATAACATAACATACATTTTAATTACCTGCTTGCTGCAGTAATTTGATAAACATTTTCTAATACATTTAACATAAGTTGTAAGTTTACCTGTTGGCCTTGTTAAGTTCGTCAAAGCTTCGTGTTTGACTTCCGCATATTGAGCAGCTGGCATCGTATTCATTAGAGTTTGATGGGAGCTGCCTGGCGAAGCCCCGCCCCCTTTGCATGACGTACGTACGTTTTTCTACGTAATGGGGAAAATAAATCAGCAGCTAGAATGAAAAGTTGATCTACTACTTTCTATTGTGTTATGAGAACAAAAAAGCGCAGAATATGACACTTGCCCCAGAATTCTCCTCGGTGAAGAGTTACGGGGTTATGATGACAAACTAACACTCGCCTGGATGAAAAAAAATGCAAATGTGTATTTATGTACGACAAAAAAAAAAATACAAATCCATTACATCAGCTGCATAGCATTAGCATTTAATGCTGGGAACAGCATTAGCTAACTTTTGAATTTGCTCAAACGTTTGTGACTTTTTCTTGACTCCCATCATGAAGCATTTTAAATGGAAAAAAAAATATAATTTGATAAATCACGCGTGTCAACTTGTGAGGGCGGGGTTATATGTCAACYCTCAAACACAACGCACCGCCCTCCTCGGCTCTGTTCGAGCTGCCAAGGTACGAAACAAGCGCATCTAATTTTTAATCCATGTGTGCAGGTGTGGGAAAAGCTAGCTAACTTCTAGATGCTCCTGGCAGCTTTGAATCGTCGAAAATGGTAATAGTAATACTAATAATAATAATACTCAGTCTCCTAAATATAGTTTTTTTTTAACGTAAAATTTTGCACATTTCTCCACAGGCAGAGAGTGTTACCGGAATGAGCTCTGATATGAAAAAACTAGCTGAAGTGTTTGCGGAGGACTCGGAAAATGATGCTACATTTTATGGTTTTTCTGACACAGAGCTCATAGATACGGTACATTTTTATTGTAGCCCACATGAATCACGTAATTGATACTAACTTGGTATTCTACTTTTAAATTATTAGTTTTACAGTGTGTAGTTAAGCTATTGCAGTAAAATGTTGCTTCTCAACACATGACATGTTATTTTACTTTGCACACAGAATTCAGATGTTGATTATGAAGCCTGTCCTGATATTTCCCCCAAGAAGGAGCCAGAAGTCAAATCCATCAAAGCCTTCAGGCAGAGGATTGCACTGGTCTCTGCTCCCTCTCTCAGCCAGTCCAGTTATGAGGAGGAAGAGGAGGAAGACAAACTGACAGCAGACAGAGGGGTGCAGAGGCCAAGAAAGGACAAAATCATAAAAAAGGAAAGACATGGTGTGAAATCTGAGGATGAGGAGACAGAAGTGACTGAGGGCCTTGCATCTGATGTGAATGAAGATGTTTCAGATCATTTCTTGGTCAAGCGAGAGCAGAACATCAAGGCTAACAAAGCGATGGTGACTACACAAAACACACACAATTTGTTTGTATTTGGAAACTGATACAGTCGTTAGGTTATCATGAAGAAAAACAAAAGCAATTCAATTTTCATTTTTTTCAATTCAAAATTTTATTCATTTCATTTAAAAAATAATATATACTATAATAAAAATGAACCAAAACCAATAAATCAAAATACAAACAGCCCATAACACTGAATAAAATGTTTAAAATACTCAAGGTACTCCTGGAAAGCATCAGATTTGTAGGAGAATGGACTATTCTAAATATTTAATTTCTGCTGAAATCTCAACAATTTAATGACTCATCTGTACTTCAAGTTTTAGGGCTGTATTTAAAATGTTACGAAAATGTGTTGCTAGTTTAATGAAAAAACTATTATGTTTCTGGCTGGCTCATTTGTATGTCAAAAGTCACTTTAATTATGTTGTTTCATATAACAGTTGGCTCAGCTGATGGCAGATCTGCAGAAAATGCCAGGAGGAGCAGGGTTTTTGAAAAAACAAGCTGGCAAACCGAAAACAAAAGGACGAAGCTCTGTGAGTATGACGAACAATGGGGAGCCATTCGGCTAACAGACCACCTCTTTACCATTCTAAAAAATTTAACAAAGATATAAAAAGTTTGTACTGTGTTAGGGACACCAATTMTATCCAATTTATAGCGTCCACCACAGTCTGGTTTGACTGGAAGAGAATCCAAGAAGAACACAGAACGAACATCTCGCAGACTGACTCGCTCAATGAAAAGTGAGGAAGCTTCACCCCCTAAAGGAGAAGATGTGGAACTCAGCTTAGAGGAAGAGCTGCTGGAGGTCAGTTAAGTCATTTACCTACAAATTAAAAAGGGAAGCAGCTTGTTCAACAAATACTGTTTTATTAGAATTGTAGATACTGTATGCCTTTATACTCTATGTTGGAGTTGAGTATGGCTTTATTGTACCTGTGCATTATTTTTAATTTTGACCTCTAAGCTAACAGTGAAATAGTGATTTCAGCCTTTGAACAGTCTTAAAGCCCAGAGAAAACCAAATCAAAAATTTAAGCTTGGTCTTTAAACACAATAAATCCAGCTAAATAAATTAGGAGAGCTTCTTATTCAAATGTTTGTTTTGAAAATCACATAAAATTCATTACAAAGGATTGATGTATTTGTGTACAAAGCAATGTGCTGTACATAAACATGTCGTTTTAGGTGCGTCGAGCTCCACGACGCCGCGGCACCAGTCGACCTAAACAGAGCAAACCTCATTTAATTCGTCCCGTCGAGGACATCACGGAAGATGAGCTGCAGCTGGTTGCAGACAATATGACTGATAAAGTRTACAACACTGTTACAGTGAGTTCACGGCTGGACTCTTATTCACACTGCAGGCATATAAAACACATTTTCTGCACCAATATTTTCAGATGGTAAAATGTATATTTCACCTACTTATCTATTTATGTGCTGGCGACATGATCAACCCTTTACAGTTTTTGTTTTGCTCTTATTTTCTTGCCCTTCTTATCATTTGTTTTAGATGTATGATGTGTTGCTATTGACTCAAAAGTTTAAAGTCTGTTGCCAGACACTTTAGCTGATGTTTCTGTGTATTTTCAGGGCTCCACGTGCCACCAGTGCAGACAGAAAACAGTTGACACAAAGACGTGCTGTCGCAGTGATGACTGCCGTGGCATTCAGGGTCAGTTCTGCGGGCCGTGCCTGAGGAACCGATACGGCGAAGATGTTAAGAAAGCACTGCTGGATCCGGTTAGACCTCTACACCAATACTCTATGCTTGTGATACTGTAAACAGTGCTACATAAAGGATTTAGGAGCGGACACAAGATTTGCCACAAGGTCAAAGGAGGACAGAGGTTTATGCTAATAAAAAGCTGAAAAGCATTAGCACTGGCTTTTAAAAATTACAGTCACAAGGAAAAAAGCCGTTTGTAATTATTTATGTTTCAGATCTAGTCTAATCTTTATGGCTCAGAATAATGAAAAATAAAAACTAGTTTGTGTKTTAACATAACAGCTCATAATACAGAATATATTAAGTTGCTGAGCATCTTTAAGCAGCAAAGACTTTATCAGCAGAAGTTTCTGTTGAATAAACAAATGTGTTTTTACGATGGCCAAATGTTAAAACTCAAAGTTTGTATATAGAGCCAGAAAACTGAGAGCGTGTCTTTTAATGACTGATCACTGCCATGGTATGTGTGCTACCAGATATTTTAACACTGTGGAAATTTGTATAGTGTTAGATTTACATCAGCTTGTCCTGACATGATCTCAAACTGCAAATAAATACATTTACCTATAGTTATACAAGCATGATTGTCTTGATATTTCTGTATTGCAGTTTGCTAATAACTTGTTTTTCTCCTCAGAACTGGAAGTGCCCTCCTTGCAGAGGCATTTGTAATTGCAGTTTCTGCCGTCAACGTGATGGCCGCTGCCCAACYGGCATTTTGTTCCCCCTGGCTCAATACTGTGGTTTCTCTGATGTCCACTCCTACCTCACCAGGTGAAGTACATCACCATAAATCAGATCAATGACTTTTAGGGAATTTCAGCTAGTAGCTGTATGGATTTCAAGTAAATCATTTGTGGAAAAAAAATTGACACCCAGAGGAATGCAGTGACCTTTTGAAGTTTAGTATGATCGAAACCAAGTCTTTTATGTTTATAATGGCCCAAATATCTAAATTGCATTTCTGTCCTTGCAGCCTCCGTGACAAACTGAAGGGAGAAGAGAAAGTGGAGATGTAATTTTTTACCACTGGAGGGAGTCATTGTTCAATCTGTTGCATTTTTCCCCCTGCAGATATGTTCATTTTTTTTTTTTTGTTAAATATGAAGTTGTTGTTTTTTTTTTGAACAAATAAAATGTTTTGATAAACTGTATATATTTGTAAGTGTAAGCCAATACACAAACTTTCAAGAAATGAGATTTAATTTCAATCCAGCTGTTGGCATTTGTAGTTGATGTATAAACATACAATATAAAATCCCTAATTTAAAATGGGATGGGAGTTTAAGAGCACTTGTCCAATGAACTTAATATAATGTCACTTTACATGTACATTGCACAAATTACAACTTACAAAGCATATTTGTAAAGGAGAAAAAAATTATTTCTTTTGTGACAACACATTTTGAAACTTATTTGGACAATAACAGGAAGTATATCAAAGGTTTGCCTCAAGCCAGATCTTTTCCAGTTACAAATTTGGCGTTTGTATTATAAGAGGAAAAAAATGTTTAAAGTTTCCCAAGTTTAGTTTATAAAATGAGTGGATGTTTGGTTTTGAGCTTGCATATTTGACTTCTGGATGTTATTGCAAAACAAAAATAATAAAATTTAAATTAAAAAAAAGCATTCAAACTGACTAGAATGACTAAACAAGTAAGTATTCCACAACAAAAGGAACAAAGCTGATACAACTGCAAGGCGAAGTCTAATTTAAGTGTACTACAGAGGGAAAAAAGGAAGACCTTGAATGTATAATACATGACAAACTGAAGTTCACAAATTTAATCTACACATATAAAAATAAGATTAAGATTGTGCATGAAAAGACAAACAAGTCAATCTCCCACGATCATACATATAATCATGCCTGCACTAAACCCTTATGAAGCAGTCCCCAAATATTTATACACAAAAAACAAAATATTTTGATTTAATAAAGAGATTAAAGCAATGGCTTGAATGTGTGTACTTACAAAAGGATTGAGAGTCATTCTTGGGACTTCTGTGCCCGGACACCTATATACTCTCAGATCAATGCTTCTGGCCTCAATCTGCTACAGTTCGACTCTGTATTCACGTCCACCCCAGGATACTAAAATCACTACTCTGGCAGTATATCCAGCCACAGTAGCCACAGAAAATTTCATCTTGTTTGCTAAATATTTTCATTTAATGAAGAAATATTTCCTTTTGAGATGATTTGGGACAGTTAGCCTGAAGAACCTGTCTGCAATCCAGTCTGGTGGTCAGAAACTCCTGAGGTGAACAAGTGGCAAACCCCACAGCTAAGAGGAAAAATGTAGCAAGAGCCAGACTTAGTGTCATCTCTCCACTGATGTAGCTTGTATTGCAAATATTATTGGCTACAAATTCATCATGAAGTGTGTTGACCTGCATCTTTTATTGCTATCCCACCAATGGGTAACCAAGACCGGATCTGTGAGATGAATGTTAGTGTAATGCCATTTCCATTCAGAGGAAACAGGATTTACAGTGATTTTTCTAACTTGAGATTCTTAGCCCCATTCATTCACTATTGAGCCTTAAATGCCACAGGTATCCAAACTTAAGATGAAAGTCTAATTTCTGCCACCGCTCTACAAAATGTTAGTGTGTTATGATGCACGTGAGAGCCCTAACAGGTTCTCTGGTTAATGCGCCCTTTTTCACCTCAAATGTCTAAATAAAAACATCCACCAAGACATTGTTTTCCATTTTTAGTAGCTGTTGCCGTTGATCTGGTGAATGTCCACCTGCATCATGCTGATGCCGCTGCTGGCTAATCGCGCGAGGCTTTCTGCAGATAAGGTTTCCATCGTGACAATGGTGTGCTGGTCGCTGGCTGACCCCACTGCCATACTGGCTTCTGTTCCTGCTGCGGGGGAAGCAGCATCTGTTGACACTGTGCTGCTGGTGACGGGGGGTACTTTCTTGTTTGAATGGGTCTTGATGTGCTTTGAGAGGTGGTCGCTGCGCATGAAGCGTTTTGGACACTCGGTACAAGCAAACCTTTTTTCTCCTGGAAAAAAAATAGTAAGAGATGAAATGCTAAACAAGTGTGCCTGATGTTTCCTAGGACTCAGACTGCTCGTTACTCTTGATTTTAAAAAAAGGTGAGAATTTGTATTGTAGTTGAGGGAAAATTAAAACTGGTCATACCCCCCATTTTAGCACAAAGTATTCCATTTAAACACTGACAGGTAGTTTGTTAATATTTTTTACAAAGCTGACAACTTCATTTTTCCTAAAAGATTTCGGACTTAAGAATATAGATGTAATAAGAACCAATGGATACGTTTGATTCAGCTGCCCCAGTGTACAAACACGCACAACACCAGGAAGCTTAAAGTCATTAAATAGGATCAAGCAGGCATATCTCTCACTTCCTAACTGAATCCACCTTACCTGTGTGTGTTCTCTTGTGGCGCTGCAGCTCATCTGAGCGAGTGAATCGTTTGCCGCAAAARGACCAACTGCAGACGAAAGGACGTTCTCCTGTGTGCCAGCGAAGATGGGCTCTGAGGTGTGACGTCTTGCCGTAGATCTTTCCACAGCCGCTAATGTGACAAATGTGCTGCTTCTTTTTGTTTGGATCTCTGCTTGATGTAAAGCACAATATGTAAGAGTTTGAAAGAAGATTTTCTCCATCTGACACTTGGAGGAAGTAATCAGCTCAAAGACAAAGCTCTGAGCATATTCAGTATTCATGTAGTTGTCTTAAACGTGTATACAAAGTGGACTGTCTGTTTCTGAAAGGTTTAGGATTTATCTTTTTGCTACATCTGTTCCCATTTTAAAATGTAAGGTTGGCTCAGCACACTGACTTTTTCTTGTAAATGTTGAGCCTGACTTAGAGCACTAGTGTACAAGAAGACATTCTTGTTAGAAATTGTACATCTTACTTTTTTCCCTTCCTACAAATGTTCACCTTGGTCAATTTTCAGAATGCTTCTTCATTTTGTCATAATAACAGTTAGTTAAACACCACATAAGAATATGAAAATGCTCAAAGAGAATTAGAATGATATTTTATATTCTTATAAAGTCAACAATAAACAGTTCAGGTACATACCGTGCCTCTCCATCTTTGCAGAAGGGGCAGGTACAGGCTTCTCGGCGGTTTCGGCGCCCCTGAGGTGGTGATTTTAAGTCATCTTCATCCATAACTGTACTGTCATCCAAACTTTCTCCGCCAGTCTGAAATGACTGCTCTCCTATATTGGTACAAGAAAACTATGTAAAAATCATTCTGACATGTTTTGATCTAAAGATATTTTATTAATCAACTTCAAAACACACTGCAGCCACATAGATTTTCATGGTAAGTTTTTCAGCCATCTGTCCCTTTTTTCCCCCTTGTAAAATTAAAAAGGTATTAGTAAAGTAATTTAAAATTATTACTTTCAGATAACACTTAATTCAATCAAGCCCAGTAGGTTTTCTGTGCAATCGCCAAAGAAACAATAGAGAGTCTGAATTTTGACATGAATGCTGTTTTGATGATTTTTACCTTAAACTCTCTTAGCACAATATAACTATTAGTTTAATGTCAGCTCTGACAGACAGAAAACTCAGCTATTCTTCTTAGTTTGTAATTCAAACTAACTCATTTATGCGTGCCATTTATTCTTCAGGACTGTTGGAAGTTCAGGCAAAACTCAGGTAGTTGAACTGGTTGAACCAGAACTGAACACTTTTATATTAATTGCTGCAATGAGATTAAATAAAGAAACAAGCAAATCTAGTTTTGAGGTTGCTACTCTTAAGGAGATTGTTTTCCAACTCGCTTTTATAATTTTGTGGCAAAAAAAAAAACTTTCCAGGAACATTTGGAAAACATTGCATAAAACGCTTATATTATTAATCATACTATTATTTTTTAGTTAGAGCCATAAAAGCTGTGTAAAACATTTTAAACTGAATATGAATTAGAATCAAGAAGTGATAACTGACCTGCAGTGCTGGTGATGGGGACTCCCTGCAGCTGATGCATTTGCAGCCCTGTGCTCCCAAGCGTGTTCAGATTTATGGTCTGAAGGCTTGGAATCTGCACCGTGCTGACGGCTCCAGCTCCAGCACCTCCCTGAGTCTGGCCAAGTTGTTGAAGAGACTGGACTGGGGTCAGTGTTATCTGCGCACCTGCTGGACTCTGGATCTGAATGGTCTGCCAGCTAACCTGGCCGTTAGGGCTTACAGTGCGCAGAAGGATGGACCCCGTGTTTGGCATAATCTGGAGGTTTTGAAGCCCTTCCTGACTGAGTGTTGGAGCTGCAAATACTTGACCCCCTGCAGATGCAACAGTACTGGCTTGAATGGTCTGGAGAGGTGTGGCACCTTGGATAACCTGCTGAGGCTGAATAAGAATTTGCTGAGCCTGCTGCCCATCTCTGGTGTCTGGCTGAATTGGGACACCAAGAGAAGTTGTTGGGCTTTGCTGGAACGTCCCAGTCACTGATCCATTACTTTTCTGGGTTTGGGTAATTCCATAAGAGGAGGTTGTCTGAGTTGTGACAGTGGACGCACTTGTCATATAACCTGCCTCGCTGTTAGATGCCGACTGTTTTGGCTGCTGCTGCGTAAGCTGGTTACCCCCCGTGTCTACACCACCATTTGCATCTCCCCCCGTAGTACCTGTACTGACGGGCAGCAAAGTGATGTTTCCATTCAAAGACACTGGCATATTTGCCAAGAACTGGGGCTGGTTTTGTAATACACCATTGCCTAAGGTTAGATTTTGAATTGGGATGGCTCCCTGAAGGACACTGGGCATAGTTATGATGTTGCCAGTTGCACCTGCTCTGTTGGTTGCAGCTATAATTTGCTGCCCGTTAGTAGAGGATAATATCTGAAACTGCTGTCCTTGTCCTGCTGCAGCAGAGTCCTGCTGAGCAAAGTGCAGCTGCTGACCATCTACTGTCTGAAACTGGGGTATGACTTGGTACTGTATGTTGGGCACCACACCTGATATGGTGGTAAGAACCTGCTGACCTGGCACAGATGGAGCTTGAGCTACAACATATTGCTGCGGTTGCTGACTCTGAGAGCTCACAACAGCTGCTGATGTTGACAGCACCTGTCTACTCTTACTGCTGTCTCCTCCTGACAACACCAACGGGAGGTCATTGGTGCCAGTGTTAGAGCCTGAGGATACCTGAACACCGGAAGGGACAACCTGCCAGCTGTTGGCACTGGAGGTGAAAACACCCTGGTTCATTTCCAGCTGTTGCTGCTGATTCTGGTCTGCAGGGGAATCGTTCTCTTCAGGGGTGTCAATTCGACTGCAAGTGGCTGCCAACAAGGCAAGAGGAGACGGCTGCTGTGAGTCCTAGAAACAAAGCCATTAAAAATGATTAAATCAATTATAAATGTTATTTTAGTTTAGTTTATTCATTTAATTTAAATAAACAAAACAAATTCACATACAAAAAAATACAAATCAAATTAAATGAAATGTAGCAGAAAGAAGAAAAAATATATATGCCCCATAAAAAAAACTATTAAATTATAATTTTAAATAAAAATGTCCAAGTAAATTTACTAATTTATTACATGAACCAACTGCCAAAATTAAATGCACTAACTGCTTGTGTCTTTTTAAATACAATATAATCTTAATTTAATAAACTAGTTCTCATTGCAATATTAGTAATTTAATTAACATTGTAAAAGACTGCAATAAATCACAGACTGGTAATTCAACACCATTCATGTTCTGCACCCTAATTATATTTTTGGTCAGTCCAACAGACTCTCACTGGCCATAATACCTATCAAAATACACAATTTTTTGTATTTTTGATTCAAAATTTTCTTCTTCTTGTGTTTATTGCGACTTATCATCATCGCAATATCACACAGCCCTATACTACATATTTAATAAAAACTCTGTTCACATTTAATAGGTAAGAAAATCATTCATCGTTTGGGAAAATTGTTTGTAAAAATTTGCATTTTTAAACTTTGGAAACAAAAAAAATAATTTCCACACTTTTCTAAGACTGTTAACAAAAACAATAACTGTGCTTTTTAAAAGGCAACCAGACATAATTTAAAGTGAACCTAATAAAACTAGTAGGAAATACAAGACATTTTGTTTGATTTAAAAGTGTTTAAACTTAGACAGCAAATGTATGTGAAATAATAATAA